TAGAGCCACTTACGGGTTTTTTGGGTTTTTTTGTTTGTTTTTTGGTCCAGTCGTGGGGCTTGAACTCTGGGCCTGGGCACTGTCCCTCAGCTCTTCAGTTCAAGGCTAGCGCTCTACCACTTGAGCCACAGCGCCACTTCCAGCTTTTTTCTTTTTGCTTACGTGTGCTGAGGAATCGAACCCAGGGCCTCATGCATGCAAGGCAAGCACTCTACCACTGAGCCACCTTCCCAACCCCACTTCTGGGTTTTTGAGTGGTTAGTTGGAGATAAGAGTCTCATGGGGACTTTTCTGCCTTGGCTGGCTTTGAACCACAATCCTCAAATCTCAGCCTCCTGTGTAGCTAGGATTACAGGTGTAAGCTACTGGTGTCTGGCTCTTATTTATTTTTGTCAGTTGTAGGGCTTGAACTCAGGGTCTGGGCACTGTCCCTGAATATTTTTGCTCAAAGCTAGTGCTCTACCACTTTGAGTTACAGTGTCACTTCCAGAAGTAAACGTCTTTAGCCTGAAAAGTATATCTACAAAAATTCTGCAGCAAGAAATGCGCTCAATGATGAAGCATTGAAGCACTCCATTCCTTTGAAGATCAGAACAAGACCCGTATGCCTGCTGTTCCCACTTTGACTTCAGTTTGAAATTCAACATCCTAATTCGTTCAGGAAAAAGAGTGATGTGAGAGCTGGGTACTGGTGGCTCACGCCTGTAGTCCTACCTACTCAGGAGGCTGAATTCTGAGGATCGCTCTTCAAAGCTGCCTGGGCAGGAAAAGCTGTGAGACTCTTGCCTCCAATTAACCACAAAAAAGCCAGAAATGTAGTTGTGGTTCTAAGTGGTAGAGCACTAGCCTTGAGCACTAAATCTCAGGACAGCAGTCAGGCCCTGATTTCAAGCCCCAGGATTGGCACAAAGAAAACAGAATGACTTCATGGAAAACAAAATAAATGTCAGAATTTTCAAAGATGTTAAAACACAAACCCAAAAGAATGATAAATTATTAGAATTAGGGCTGGGAAGGTGGCTCAGTGGTAGAGCGCTTGCTTTGCATGAATGAGGCCCTACGTTCGATTCCTTAGCACCACATATGCAGAAACAGCCAGAAGTGACACTCTGGCTCAAGTGGTAGAGTGCTAGCCTTAAGCTGAAGAGCTCATGGACAGTGCCCAGGCCAGAATTCAGGCCCCACGACAGGCAAAAAAAAAAAAAGAAAAAAAAAAGAATTAATGGGTCTTAGCAAATTGGGTAGAAGCAAAGGTCAATTTCATCACCAAATGCTCGAAATCAACAGAAAATGTAATCTCAAACACAATCAAAAACAAGTTACCTGGAAATAAGTAGCTAAAGAAAGTATAACACTTGTAGAGAAAATGTGAAGATTTTCTTGAAAGCTGTTATGCTTGTATTGGGAACAGTTTATGAATAGCATTGGTTAAACTGCTTGAACAGAAAATTTAGAAATAATTTGGGGCTGAGAATGTAGATCAATGGTAGAACACTTGTTTAGCATGTGTAGCATGAAGAGTAGCAAATTGGGTATCTGCCATGTTGACTGAATGACAAAAATAAAACTACTATCAAAATGGGCCACATGGTGGGGTGCCCATGGCTCATGCCTGTAATCCTAGTTACTCAGGAGACTGAGGCTTGAGGATCAAGGTTTAAAGCCAGCCTGGGCAGGAAAGTCTATGAGGCTCTTATCTCCAATTAACCACCAGAAAACCAAAGTGGAAGGTAGCTCAAAGTGGTAGAGCATTAGCCTTGAGCAACAAAAGCACAGGGACAGCTCCTGGTCCTGAGTTCAAGTCCTATAAGTGACCAAAAAGGGGGAGGGGGAGAGGTATTTTCCTCTGGCCTACAGGCTTTGAAATTATGCTCCAATCCTGCAAGCAGGATATTGAAATTTAAGAGCTTCTCTTTGCTGCTAACATTGTAGAGAGGTTTCATTTCCTCCACTACCACCACCACTGCCCTTTCATTAATCTGTTCACCTAAAGTCTAGCTGAGCCTAGAAAACAAATGTTTTGTGTAAGGCTGGAAGGAAAATTGGGGATTATAAAGTTCATCAAAAGCCAGGCACTGGTGGCTCACGCCTGTAACCCTAGCTACTCAGAAGGCTGAGATCTGAAGATCGAAGTTCAAAGCCAGCCCCAGGCAGGAAAGTCCATGAGACTCTTATCTCCAACTAACCACCAGAAAACCGGAAGTGGCGCTGTGGCTCAAGTGGTAAAGCACTTGCTTTGAGCTGAAGAGCTGAGGGACAGCGCCCAGGCCCAGAGTTCAAGCCCTATGACCAACAACAACAACAACAAAAATGTAAGGACCTTGACAGCACTGGCTGCAACCTGGAGGAACATGGAACAATATTTTTGTAAGGGTTTATGGAGTATTCATTAGCTACCTTATGAAATGGTAACCCCCTTGTATAACACTTTAATGATAAAACTTTTTTTTTTTTTGTCAATTGTCCATTTTGGGGCCTGAACTCTGGGCCTGGGCGCTGTCCCTCAGCTCTTCAGCTCAAAGCTAGTACTCTACCACTTGAGCCACAGCACTACTTCTGGCTTTTTCTGCTTATGTGGTGCTGAAGAATCAAATTCAGGTACTCATGTATGCAAGGCAAGCACTATTCTACTGAGCTACCTTCCCAGTCCCAAAACTGCCTGACTGGCTTTGAATTGTGATCCTCAGATTTCAGCCTACTGAGTAGTTAGGATTACAGGCATGTGCCACTGGTACCTGGCAAAACTGTATGTTTTTTTTAGGTTATGGAGCCTCCACAGAAGGTTTACCTGCTTTTCTAGTTAGCTTAAGTAGGACCTTGGCATCAATAGTTTCAAAAATCAAAGTACTTTGGAGGAATGTAATATTTAGTTTATCTTATTATGGCCTAATTGTAGTGCTTCTGGGAGGAAAAGAAAAAGGAAGAGGTATCAAGATGAAAGTACAGTATGTACCTTTTCCAGGTCTTGTTCAGGATATTTAGTGCAGACTGTAGTTTTCCCATGATGTGTGAGTGTCAGTCATGAGTATGGAGCTAATGGATAGGAAGAGGCAAATGTAGTTTTATAGACCAGCTTGTTCAGTATTGCAGAGTACTGTAATGAACGTTCATAATCAAAGCAGAAATAGAAAGGGTAATCTCTCCCCCACAACAGAGGAATAGGAACAAGTGGCTCCAAGTGATGATCCTCATCCA